TCGGTTGGGACTAACACAAACCCTGTGCCAGGAGCTGTTTCCCATTCCTGCAACGCTGGGGGAAGTCCTTCAGTCATTTCAGTCTGCGTCATTTTCCAAAAATCCCTGGTTTTGGCTAATAATTGCACTTGAGAGCTCCAGCACTCTTGTGGGTAGGAAGCTTTCACCCTCTGTGGTTGCAAAGCGGACTGGATGATGTGATGCAAATGCAATCCGAAAACTGATAAGCACAGAATCATAGAATTGGGTTGGACAGGACCTCAAGGATCATGAATCTCCAACCCCTGCCACACGCAGGGCCACCAACCTCCACATTTCATACGAGACCAGGCTGCCCAGCTCCCCATCCAGCCTGGCCTTGGACACCTCCAAGGATGGGGCATCAACAGCCTCTCTGGGCAGCTGTTCCAGCTCCTCACCACTCCCTCTGTGAAAAACTTTCCCCTGACATCCAACCTCAATCTTCCTTCCCTCAACTTAAAACCATTTCCCCTTGTCCAGCTATCTACCTCTCAGTTATCAGTTATCTACCTTTACCCTGATAAGCCAGAAGTTGCCCTGAATAAAAATGAAAAGGAAGAATAAGGATCTTCTTCTTCTGAACCTGAAGTTCTTCCCTGGCTTGGCAGTGCTCCTAGGCTGTCCTTAAGACCTTATACAGCTTGCTGTGCTCAGCAGCCACGTGTGGAGAAGAGCCAGAGAGTGGGACAGGGGCAGGGGCTTAGGAACTCTAGAGCTGCCCAAGGCCATGGCAGGCTGGGCTGTTGGGGACAGGCAGCCCGTAGCCAGGGCTAGGCACTACATGATCTTTAAGGACCCATCCAGCCTATGCTGTGTCCTCAGCAGACACCTTGCGGTCTTTTTGTCCGTTCACATCCTTTGTGCTGATGTGCTGGGGCTGCTCTCTGGGTGTAGTTTATTTCCAAGGGAACCTTGGGACGGGGATGAGCTCAGCATCACGGTGTGTGTCACCCCAACGGCTGTCCTCAGTGGTTCCTGCCTGCCCTTCCGCGGGTGATGTAATCTGTGCTCAGTAATACCATTTCTGAAAGGTGGATAGCAGCATTTTAGTTCAGCTCTAATAACTCTGTTAAATCAGAGGGCCTGTAATTGCTGTTTGTGGCTGAGTCTGTTCCATATGTGTGTTATGTAGCGTGCAGTCATAATGAAACCTTCCCTCTTTCAGCTGTATGCCCTAAAGAATGTCTTTGTTGTGCGGAAGGCACAACGCTCACCTGCTCTCTGCCTCTGCTATGTGCTATAAGCAAAGGAAAGGGGGAAAAAAAAGTCATGTTCTCTCCTTGTTTCAGTTTTTTTTTTAAATTTTAAGTTGTGTAGGTCCTCATTTGATTAGTAACATTTTGCCTTGCTGGACTCCAGGTCATTTCTTTTAATGGAAAAGCCTGCGAGCCCCTGTGTGTCTGAGAGTTTACATGCATTAGAGCACAGGGATGTCAGTGTGAGAAAGAGTGGGGAGTGAGAGAGCAAGAAAAGCCTCTTCCAGGCACTCAGATACTGTGCTCTGAAGCAGCATTTTAAATTCCTAAACTCAACCATAGACACTGCAGATGCAAAATTGCTAGAGAAATATTGTATTAAAAGGCAACATGCTCCATGCCATGAGATGGGTGGTTGTGTGGCTTTGGAAATAGGGTGTGCTAGAGGGCTCCAATCTGCCTGTTCAAGGGACAGAATAGCTCCCTTCAGTGCACTGAACTGAGCAATGAGGAGAGGAGCCCCACTGCCCGGCCCTGTGGCTGCTTGGGCAGTGCTGCCTGTGACCTTCAGTGGCTGCCAGCATTTCAGCTCCCAGATAGCTGCAGCCCATGGCACATCTCGTCCCAGGGACATTGCCTCCAAAGGGGAACTGTGCTGTGATGCACTGTCACACCAGGGGGAGAGAAAAGCAGTTGGAAGGAGCCTTGTGAGGCTTCAAAGTGAGATCCTTTGTGTCTTGGAAAGGCAGAGCTTGCTCGGTGGGGTGTCAGCACCCCAATCAGCAATTGTGGGGTGTCAGCACCCCACAATCAGCAATAAAAATATCTCAGGTGTCTAAAATGGATTGAAAGTAGATGAGTTTGCACCTGTTTTTCAAGAAATTGGTCCATCTGCTCTGTACCATGGAGCAGAGGGTATGACCTTTTTGGCCCATGGGACACTCATCTCCATCAGCCCAGCTCAGCTCATGCTGAGCCCCCAGGTCACAGGAGCACACAGAGTAGAGGGGAAACACACAGCCCCAGTAAGGAATGGGGCAGGGATGCTTTCTGCTGTTCTGTGGGAGCTGCACAGCCCCAGCAGCTCCCAAGGCACTCCTACCAAACTTGGTGCCAGACTTGGCCATGGCAGGGCAGGAGGAATGATCAAAAGAAGGAAGAAAGAACCTTGTAAAGCAAATGGAGTGTCCTGTAATGTGCCCGTAAAAGGAAAAACTCCGTGGTGCTTGAAGTCTACAAATTCAGGTTTCCCATGGGAAAACATGACTCCTGTTCAAATGCTAATAGGATGTTATTGCAGGAATCTTTTAATTTAACTGTTATGTAGTGCAAGAAGGGGCAGAGCAAGGTTCAGAGAGCAAATGGGTGATGAATGATCTTCAATCTGCCAGGCAGTGTTTGCTTTTTTTTTAAATATACTTCCCTCCCTTGATCTCTGACTTAAGCAGATCCTCCAAAGGGATATATAAAAGACAGCCATGGCTTCAGCTGGGGGTAATGGCACATATCTGTGTGTTTCTTTTATTCTCATTTAAAACCGCTAAGTGATGGCAGTGCTGAAGTGCCAGTCACCTGCATAGCTGACTCTGAGAGCATAGGAGTTGATGATGTCTGAGCAGAAATCGGCTTAAGGCCCATTTTTGAAATGCAGTAGAGAAAAAGAGAAGAATTGGGCTCTGTGACCACACACCTTTTCAGGTTAGATCTCACACGAAGCAGGAGGAGCTTGCAGGCACTCAGAGGCAAATTGTGCCATCCTCACCCTGCAACACGGCACGCAGGGCATGAGGAGCAAGGTGGGAAGAGCAAGAGAGCAGCCCAGCTCCTCTCTTCTTCAAAGAGAAAATTCTTTTTATCCTGGGAACTTCTTGGTGGATTTATGGCTGGAAGCATCCACGTTTCAAGGTTTCTGCTATCACTTTGCATTGCTATAAGCGTAAGAAGGAAACTCTTGCTGCTAATTCTCCTGAACCTGTAGAAACACTTTGTGTGTTTTGAGAAGTTTACAGGGAGCTTTTGGCTGACCTTGACCAGCAGTGCTGCGTGAGGAAAAGGAGTGGGATGCTTTTTCTAGCAGATTGGAATAAACAGTTTTTCAGAACTCTCAGCATCTCCTGCCACCTCCATATGTGAGCCTTCTCCAGGGATCTTCAGCTTGCTCCTGTGGTGGCAGAGACCCACAGGTAGGGGGTGGGGTTTGCAGCCTGCTCAGCTCCACAGCAGGGCATATTGTAGGGCAGGTTAGACCTGGAAAGGGTGCTCACCTTCAACCCAGCCGTATGAAGGGTGCACTTTGGTGATGGGAAAAATGGCTTGCAGCATTGAGAGCTAATGGCCTTGAGTTGTGCAAGGGGACGTTCAGGTTGGATATTAGGAAAAATTATTTCTCAGAAAGAGAAGTGAGGCACTGGCACGGGGAGGTGGGGGCACCATCCCTGGAGCTGCTCAAGAACTGTGGAGATGTGGCACTGGAGGACGTGGTCTGTGACCATGATGGGGATGGGTTGGATTTGGTGATCTTTTAGTAGACTTTTCCATCCTTAATGGTTCTGTGATTCTGTGATTCTGTGATCACTAGGATTTGTCAAGGCACTGTGGTGGGAGTCACTGGCAAAAAGGGAAAGAAAAAGACTTTGCAGACTAATGAGATTTCAGAATGTGTTTTAGTCTTCACAATGTTCCCAAAAAGCCTGAATATGTGTGAGAACACACAGCATTTTGTCTCCGTTTGAAAAACAGGAAAGGGCTGTAGCATCTGTCAGAGGCACCATCAGCCAGCCAGAACACAGCCTTAGGCTGCATTTCCACCTGGATCCGGGATCCCATGTTGCCTTCCCTGTTGCCTCCTGACTCTCCGTTCGGGTGCCATGCGTTGCACCATCTGCTGAGCCCAGCTCACAGCCACCAAGGGTTGGAGGAACAGAGATGCATCCCAAGCATGTGCACCCCAGGCTTGTGCAGAGAGGATGGGAAGCTGGAGTCTAGTAGGGCAGGAGCTGCATTCCCAGCCCCCAGTGCTGCCCTGCTTCCCTCCCCCTGCACCCACCTTATCTTTGCAAAACAAAAGGGATAGCAAAATTAACAACGTGAAAAGGGGAGGAGATGATAAAGAGTATCTGGAAAATTATCTGTGTCCTCATTTTGGAGCTTTGCATGGTAAGCAGAAGCCCTTTTTCCTTATTAATGTATAAAAACCTTGAAAAGCTGGATGACTGGTGAGCAGTTGGTACCACTCTGTTGTGATGGACTAAGAGAGCTCTCAGGAAGTGTTCTGCAAAAGACTATCACGCTTGAGAAATTATCTGGGGATGTTGTTCAAGGACCAGAGCAAATAAATCAAAGCTAAAAGGCGAAGTCTGCTGTTGTGCTGCTAATGGGCACTTGGGACAAGAGAGATACTGGCAACTTCACTTTTGGGCTGCAAAAAAACTTCAGCAATTATGGTGCAAATGCTGCCAAGGGCTTGTGTGATACCTGTGGAATTTGCTCTGGGGTGTTTGCTTAGCTGTCAGACTCCATGTTTGGGCTGTTTGGCTCTGCTGTCAGACTCCATTCATGCCATGGAAGTATCAAAATACTCAGTTGTTCTTCCTAAGCCTTTGCCCATGTGGAAATTCAGTATTGCTGCAGTTAGTTCTGCTGTACCCCCTGCTTATCATTCGTAAGGTAACCATGTGGTGGGGCCTTGGTGCTCGTGTACGGGGGCAGCAGCGGGGCTGCATGGCACATACCTGCACCTGTATAAACCTGCATAAAGTTGTTTTCTTTTCTTTTCCTTGCCAGGTCACTATGGGAAGGATATTTATCGAAGTGGAGGGCCAGATCTCCATAATTTCATCTCCTCCGGGTTTGTCACATTAGGACGAGGACACACAAAGGGTACAGTGGAAACAATTTTTTGCTAAATAGAAAAGATTCTTTTAAATAAATAATAATAATAATAATAATAAAGATATAACTCAAAAGCTGGCTTCTAAGTGCTAGAGCAGTATTGGACTGCAGTCAGTCGCTTTAGTCTAGCAAATATTGCTGCAGGTAAAATACTGCGCTCCTGGCAGAACCTTTTAAATTGTAGCAGGGGAGACAGTGGGAGAGTGTTGAGTGGAACAGCCAGCCTCCAGGCTCCGCTCTGACTGTGCAGTCCAACAATTTATACTTCTTTGTGTGTTTTCCTGGGTGCATGGATGCAAACCACCATTGTGCTGCTGTACTTACAAAGGGAAAGGGAAGGAGTGTCATGCTGTCCCAGGGCAGGCAGTAACAGTTCCAGAGGGCGTTTATGGATTTCTTGTAGTTTCTGGGCTGCTTTTCTTTTTTCTTGGTGGGGGGAGGGAGGGGGATATTATGAATATTTTATAAAATTATTTCTTTTTAGGTCCAAAACGTATATTTTATGTGCTCATATAATCTGTGATATAATGTACAAACGTGACAACACAAAAATATACATATACTGCTCTGTGTATGTTCTGTGTATATGTACTGTATATATGATATATGTTGAGAGACAGTTGTAGCTATATTAGAGACGTAACCACATATCCCAGGAGTTGTGGTGACGAAAAAGCTGTGTGATTTGACTCAAACCTGGCTGGTCACCAGAACCCCGGGGGAACGTTTGTTTTATGACCTTGTTGCCTGTTTGGTGAGTTTTTATGGTGTACGGTGAGACCGTGTTGGGAGCACCTTTGTGTTTGCGCCCACAGCCCGGCTGCGTCACACGGGTGCACTGGCAGCGGGTTGTGGCACTGGGTGTGCCAGCATGTGCCATGCCAGTGCGCCCCGATCTGTGTCCTGCTGACTACTGAGACTGCTGTACATCTCTATAGACACAATGTATGTGGAGATTACCTATATAGACACAATGTACTGTATGTGGAGATGTGTCCATGTGCTCGCCTGGTTGAATGCACCTGTGTTGTTTCTGTGGATGACCACGAGTCACAAATTATTAAAATACCTTTATTTTTCCTTACATTTCCTGCACTTTTTCAAATTCTCCACGAGTGTCATCCAAAGCAGTGTTGGTCCTGTAGAACTGTCAGAGAAGAAACAAATATATGTATATTGTCTGTGTATGTCTGTGTGTGCTTAAATAAAGTTTACTGAGGCTGAGGCAGCACCCGTGGGACTTGTAATACAATACCCTGCAATTCCAGCCTGGCACTGCACCGGTGGAAGGAAAGCAGAGGAAACCACCATGAACCTTCAGGTGGGCTGGGAACTAAAGTGGTTCAAGGAAGGACTCATGGATGGCGTTTCACACAACATTTCCCTTTCTCCTCTCCACCCGAAGGAGGTTTTACAGTCATGTCCCATCACATTAGGCCTAACTTTGGGTGTAGGGTAAGGCAGCAAGAGGCACGTCCTACTGAGTGGTGTGTCCTGATGGCCCTCGTCAAGAGCATGGTAACCCTGGGCAGAGGCTTACAACCTGCCTCTTTCTCTCTGACACTTCACTTACCTTTGAGCAGTTTTCTGTACCACATGCCTTTTCCAGTTCCTTCTCAGATAAAAATAAAACCTGCTTTCCTTCTTCAACTGAGGAGGCTTGGGGGGTTTGTTCTTCCATAGGTGGGCCAGTGGTTGTCACACCTTCCCCACTGGCTTTGCTGGAAGCCCCGCAGAGCACCTTTCCCATCCCTGACAAGATGGTAGAGTGGGCAACGGGAGCCAAATTATGTACGTATCACAGTGCCAAACAGCCATCAGATGGAGTGGTGCTTTCCACCCTATCCGATAGAAGTGAATAACAGGCTTTTAGTTGAAGAAATTCAACTAACTCAGCTTTTTATGTACCGAAAGTAATGGATTGTCTTTCCAATTTACTTCTAAGCTACCTGTAAATTCACATTTTATTTGAACTGTACCATAGTGTTAATTTCTGACTTCCTAATGGTAAATTCACATGCCCACGTTTGACTGGTGCAAGTGATTAACGTGTGCACACGTTCTGCAGGCAAACTGTCTTGTTTGCTTGAGTAAATGTGTAGGTTTGTCTTTGTTTGTGATCTGATTTAATTGCCTATTTGTGCTGGGAAGGAAGGGGCTTTGTGTGTAGCAAGTGATGTAGGGTCTCTGTCATTATGATTGTGCCCTGTGTGACTGGATTATTTCTGGAAATATTACATGATAGACTCCCTGTATAGTGCTTGAGCTGGCAGCACAGTTGGACACGTAGACAGAAAGGATGAGTGCACCAGCAAGGGATGCACTCCTGAGCTTTAGCTGAGTACTTTATGCTCAGATTTCATCTTACTTCAATTCCAGTGAATGAATGAAGATCTCCACCTCAGCTACTGTTAACATAACCATGTCCTGTGTCGTCATTACCCTACCATGGAAGGGGGTCCTTGCTCTTAGGCTGAACAAAGCCAGTGAAGTTTATCTCAGTATTTCACATTTTTGGTGTTTTCTCAACCCTCTTCTGTGCTGTAGCAGGACTCACAAGTGCTGAGTGATATTTAAAAGCTAGTAGCTAGTCTGTTTTGGGCAGAAGACAAAGATTTTAGACATGCCAAACTACCATGGCTACCAAATCAGCATATTCACGTCTGACATCCACAAGCTACTTCTAGACTGTGATTTATGCATCTTATATGACACTCCACTGGGCACTGTACCACCGTCTGACATTTAAATATATCAAATCACTGCACAGTTTGTTCTTCAAACCACAGTAAGGGCTTCAGTGTCAGCCTGCCAGGGTGATCTCAGAATTAATCCAAAGGCTGTAGAAGCTCTCCCAGGAGAGACACACAATGCAGATAATTTAATCTAGCTTTAGATAGCCAAAAATTAGACATTTTCTTCTGAAATGGTAGCCTTCAATTCCATTGCAAAGCGTGTACCTCTAAATGAGTGCCAGTATCTCCTGGATGGTAAGAGGTGCTTCTTTTCCCAGTCTAGCAAGAGGTGGAGCTGTAAGGGGTTGGGTCTTGTAGCATCAATGGCAGCTGAATCTCACCTGTAGTTGCTAGCATGGGAGTAGTTACTATTGCTCTAATTGCCATGGGATTCACTAGGAGAGTTCAGTGCTCCAGTGACATGAGCAGGAGCACTGAAGACAGGAGAAATCCCATTCCTCTGTGTGCACGGACCTAATTAAAGAAGCAGCTTCTTCAATGAGTCTCTGTCAGACCATCCTGCTAATGGGTTGAGGCAGTCCCAACAAGGACCATGCTCACAGTCCTGCCAGGGCTCTGCTTGGTCACACAGGCTGGTACAGAAACTCACCTGGCTGCAGCACAGCAAGCAGCCATGGGGATTCTGAACTGTAGTGAGTCCATATGTCTTAAAGAACAGTAAACTCAATTCAGATCAAGATTGTTGAGTTTTCAGGTAAAAAAAAATGTAGTCTTTATTCCATTTCATTTCATTTCATTTCATTTCATTTCATTTTCTCACTGCCAGCCTCACACCCTAAAAATTGTTTCAGAATTGAATTGGGCTTTCTGTATTTCACCAGTCCTTTCTGTATTTCACCAATCTGTGCCAGCAGCAGAGCTTCTGTAGAGCAGATGATGAGCTTGCTTTATAACTAAAACACTTCTTTGTTTTCCTGGTAGCGCTACAACAATGTTAAATGTAGTGAGGCTTTTGCAGGAAAAGTTGAACTCAGCACTGGGGTGAGAGAATAGTGAAGCAAGAAGAATGTGGGATTTCAGACTCCTCTACTGCAGAGTCATCTCTCAGGGACAAAAAAAGACTTTTCCTAGAATTTGCTACCTCCATGTAAGCTCTTGCCTGTAGGAAACTTTTTTTTTCTTGAAGCATCACTCTAAAATTTGCACCAAAGTTGTTCTCCAGTGGTGCCAGTAGGCAGGAAAGAAAATCAAACCGTATACACGAGACAGCATGATGTGGCTGTTGAAGCATGACTATGCTGCTGGCATCGCCTTGGAGCATCCTGCAGTGTGGGCAATGTGAAAAAGATGTTGGTGTAGGGTCTGGTGACTGAGCAATAAGAGCTACCCACAGTTAGGTTTTATCGTGTGACATTTGGTGTAGATGTGGCAAGATTTACAGCCTGAATGTGGTATTTCCTGATGGGGCTTCTGTTCTCGCTTTCCTGAAGCACATTTGGTACCTCATGCAGTCACATATTTAAAAGGAGAAAATGGTCCTTGAGGTAGACTTACCTTGGAAAATGATCACCTTTTCCTCACAGGCCACATGCAGGTGAATGAGCTGCTGTAAACACAGACAGCCCGTGCATCCCGTGGTGTCAGAGCAGTGGAAGATAGCTGCTGTGCGAGTTTGGGGTTTGGAAATGGTGGCGTTTGTGAAAGTGAGAGGAGACAGAGATGGGGGCAGAGCTGATCTGAGCCTCGTGGCTGCTCCTCCTTGGGCTCAGTTTAGCGTGAGCTGAGGGAGGTGTCGTGCCACCATCTGCTGCCAGTCCATGGCCAGACCTTTACCCTGCAGCCTCCTGCAGGGATTCCACTGTGCTCCCACAGTAACCCAGTGTGCCAGCACCTGGAGGTGAAGGGCCTGATGTCATCAGGGTCAGCACACAGGTTTACTGCAAGACAAGTCTCAAGAATAAAGCAGCAGCTCGCTCTTTCTGACAGAGCAGCATTCATGTTTGTTACAAGGGAACCTCCTACAAACACAAAAGAGGACAATGCAGCTCTAGATCATACTTAGCAACCAAGATCTTCCCGAGCTGCTCTGCTGTCTCAGCCAGCGGAGGTGGATGGCAGCTCCACTTTCTCATCTCTTTCTGCTCTCGCAGCTGCAGAGCTTTCCCAGCACTGTGTCTGGGCTGCTTCCCAGGTGAGGTGCCGCCCTCCTGCTGGACGGGCATGGGAAGCACCAGGAGGTGACTCATGGCTGTGTCAGTTTCCCCAAAACACAGCAAGTTGGTGTTAGTGTGA